AAACAACAAACTATTGAATCTCTTAAAATAGAAATGCTGCATGCAATTCTCATGGCTGGACAAAAAAAATCTGTTTAGAGTATGATGCATGTTCATTCCAGCAAGGTTCAAGTGGCTGTTGATGATGGATTCTGAGAATATTTGCCCATTGCTTTTTATTTATGTTGCAGGGGTAGAACTCAGGTAGCACGTCTAGACTTTTTACCCATTCATTGTTATCATTTCAAAGTTAAAGACAGGTATGTCGAGAGTATCAAAGTGCGACATTTAAGGCAATTTATCAAAACTACTGGTACAATCGTGTTTGCGGTTTGAAGGAATGCCTTTTAACACAAAGAAAGAATGTCCTTTTTTGACTTTTTTTCTTTTATTAACCTTGCATAACTCAACCCATCAATCCCCAACGGCATGTTTTGTTGGAATCTGTCAGGATGGGTACAGTACCCCTAAGCTAACAGTCTTTTACATTGGGTTGGCACACATCCAGAATCAAAGTCAGAAATATGTGTGCACAGTTTCCCATATGGTGTTGCCATTTGCCAGGATGGGTATGGTTCCTAGTAAATCATTATAGGGAGTTAGGGTTAATGCATAGAAGATGGAAATTTTATCAGCAAGAAATTGACATGGTGTAAACTTTGTTCATTTTGTAACTTGCAGGTTGTAAGTTTGATATGTTGTTGTAGTCTATAAAAATGAACTGTCGGGGCCTTGGGTGGGATTTGAACCCACAAATTAATGTTTGTGCTGGTCCCAGAGGGCCAGCCTAGTGTCCTCTTTGTACCTATCTCACTGATTTACTCACTGACTGTCAATGGTGAGCTTGGCATTGCTATTGTACAGGATTACCCGAACAGGATTACACCAATGATGGACTAAAATCCAGCCCATTGTTAAGACCAGATGCAAGATATGAGTGAATCAGCTGAATAGAACATGTGCACTCTGGGCCAGTTATTAGGTTTACCTTGGCTTGTTGATTCAAGTTGGTGATACAGCAGCCTCGACTCCAGGGGCGCGTGCTCGTTCCTTACACTAAACCCTGGCTGTGATGATGACCTAAATGACGCTGAATGGCTATTCACAGCGTACTGCGCGCGCATTTCGAAGATTGCACACGGGCGCGCCCATAGGGCGCTCGCGTGCTTTGCACGTAACGTCACGTACAAATATTAAAAACTGCGCGATGCCTGTACGTTATGGATTATGGCAGCCTCGTTTTTTTTGCTAAACAAAACCCCTGTATCTGCGGTTGTAAAGGGACGAAAGGGGTACGTATCTTTAATACAAATCTTTGCTAAAATACACAATGTCCAAACCTTATGTTTGAAAGCATTGATTCTTCAATAACACAACTTTCAACATTTTAAAGATGGCGTCGGCGCATAAAACGGATAAACTGCAGCCCTAATTATAATGTACCGTATTTTGGCACATTTAAATTACACAATTCCAGGGGTTACGATCGCGCAAGGCATGATGGGAAACAACATGGCACAGCAAGATCGTACCCACGGGGCACGAGGTTGGTGATACAGGCCTATTCACGAGTCGGCCATATTTGAAAGCATGGTAAACTCTTCATTTTTGGAACTTGTGAGTAGAAATGAAAGCAATGAAATAAAAGTAAATTACAAATTCATACCAGTCTGCTCTGATGAATAATTGAAACTTTGTGATTAAACATACCCTAATGTTAAAAGCTACATTAAAAAAAATAAAAATTGAAAGTGAGGCTTGGATCACATTAATAGTCTGGTACCATCCCATTCAATAGTTTACAATTTATAAAATACATGTACATTCAGGGAACACGATCAAAAATGGCTTCCTCATGAATTTAAGGCTGATTGGAAGTGAGGTTTGGAAGGAGAAGACATGTTATTCAGACACCATTCCTTCCTGTTTAGTAACCTATACTAGAGACCCTAACTTCACCCCTGCGTCTGCAAGCGTGGGTCCAGGAGGATGCCAGATTATGCAGATCAGATGCAAATGCAATGAAATCTCCCGAACAGCCGTGTTCTGACACGTCTAATTGGCTTTTTACAACAATCGACCCTCCCCATTGGTCGCTAAAGGGGTGAAATATCCCAATCTGACGTGTTCCGCTGTGGCTGATTGGCTGTTTCTTGGCTGTTCGCAATGAATCTCCCGCCATTTTGATGGAGATTACCCCCATTGTCTCAAACTATGAATTCCTAAAAATATACAATCTCAGAACATATTTTCTGAGTCTCAGAGATTAACAACCTAAGCCCCATCTTCCATTCTTCAGTTTTTACTGCACTCAATTCTCCCCAAAGACTTCAACCTCTCCTCATGCTGAAAAAAATCTGAATTGATTCATGAGTCTTAATTCTGCAACACAGGGACCACATTGTCCTACATTGTCCATATCCCTAATGAGGCATTGTCACAAGTACCTTTGACCATAGAGCACAGAGCATGGACATGACAAAAGCCAGACAAGAAATAAAGAGGGGTCTGAAGTCAGGGGAGACTCGCCCCAGAAATGTTCCCTAAAACCAAAGGGTATTAACAAAAAAGTCAAAGTCGGCAGCCTTTGTGGTTTACATGGGTACAGGTAGCTTGTCTGAGACTGCTATGGGTACCGTTGCCTGGCAACTGTTTAACCACAATCTATTTGGTGGAACATGGCCACTATTTGTCATCGCATTCCAATCGAATGAGTCATCAGAATCAATGTGAAATTGTCCTCTGAGCTTCAAACAGCCTAATCTGAGCCCATTTGCTTTGCTGCACCCTTTGAGCCTTAATTACATATTAAGTGTATTATTTCACAATGACCATGGGCATCGTTTCAACTTCACCTAACATCAAAAGGGGAATTATGTATGCATAACTTGACAAATTGTTCACCGGGTTCACTTTTGGTTTCTGAGATGTTATCTTTTGCGGGGACAAAAATATTATTATAGGATTGTGTGGTTATGCTTTTTAATTTAAAGAGTCGTTCCTGGAATTTGTTGCTTTTGTTCGGAGTTTAGCACAGTAGCAGGTTTTGGCGATCTTCATAATTCATGGGGTTTGTTGACCTGGAGCTGTATAGCTGCACTTTTGCTTTTGTCTTTTTTTCCCAGGGACCTGCTGATTGAGGTCAGTATGCATGCATTGTGGGTATATTTGCTTCTTTCAGGAATTTGCATGCTCATAGTGTTAGCACATGTAATGCTTGTTGTCCACATTAATTAATTAGAAGCAAGTGGGGCATATTAGGAACATATTGTAATAAGCCAGTTCGGTATTCCAAAATAGTCTGGTGCACAACAAGATTCTATGATTGTTTTTGGGATAAACGGGGCAGATGAATGCACACAAGGCTATGGGGAGCGTGGTAACCAAATCTGCATTCTGTGAGGTGATACTGCTACGTATCCTGACAGCATATTGACTTTGTGTTAATTTTTTCATCCTCTACCCACTTGTATGGGCCCTGTCTAGACTTCCTGTGGGTTTTCCTTGCACTTCTTAAAGGTAGGGTAGATCATTTGTCATTTGTGCACTTTGTTCGTTTGAAGCAAGAAAAGTGATCAAAATTAATAAAGAATAATTTCACAGGCAGTTTAGTGCCGTTGCTGTCTTTAAACCAAGTACATGTTGTAAGCTTTTCAACAAGAATGTCATCAGTTACTTTTTGGATAGCTGCAAATGATGCACTCTACCTTTAAATTGTTTAACTGGATTCCATTCTCATCTCTCAATTTTTGAGTTGAAACCGAAGTTAGAAGGCGGCTTGAGAACTAATCATGATAAATGGGAAATAAATAGTACTGTGTACTGGGTCCAATTTCCGATCATAAAGTGGATATTCTCCCCCCCCCCCCCCCCAGTATTGGGACAGTGGGTCACAAACATCTACCATCTCTGTTTCTGTTCTTTCCTTCAAACCACCACCCACCCATTTCCAGTCGTAATAAAGTGGAGATTCTCCCCCCCCCCTTCAGTTTTGGAACAGTGGGTCATGTAAGTCTACCATCTCTGTTCTTCCCTGCAAAACCCACCCACCCCTTCGTTAAGTCAGTGCATCCTGATTCAATCAACCTTTTTGAGAGCTACATTTGTCTGTCAGTTATTGCCTGACTAAACAGAAAGTGAGTTGCATCTCAGCATGCAATTATTTAGTCAGCGTTAGGAAAAAATGCAAACAGTAAATTTTTCCTTTTTTCCATGTTTTAATACTTTCAGCAAAAAGTAAGACACAGTGTCCTGACAGACATAAATACATGTTTTATAAATAAACAAAAATGGGAATGTTAAATAAAAAATCAGAGCTTTAGTAATTTACAAGAGAAAACAAAGATATTTAGATTGATTGGATTGTTCGAATCCAAAGAACTGTAAAAAATTTCCCCTATTTTTTAAAAGCAAATCCCTCCAAGCAGAAGGGTTTACAGTGATATCCTGAAGCAAGAAGTTGCCACTGGGTCAAATATAGACAGGGGTCAGATGTCAAGACTAATTTATTTTGATGTTTGGTAGGACAATAACCAGGCCCATTAACCATCAGACACCTCCCATAAAATCAAAATAAACAAAAATCCCCCACACTTTCATTGGGACCAGTCTAGTGACCCTTTACAAGCTTGTGGTGGGATGCCTTTTGGGTGTTTCAAATCCCCACCGGTCCATCAAACTTAAATTTTAATGGATGAGCTGGGGCAAACACTCCACCCAGAATTATGATGGAGACATCCCCAGAAGAACAATTTATTGCTCCTGGTAAAAGGGAACACGTGTTCAGTGTTAATTTTGGGGCCTGTGATTCTATGAGACTCTGATGCGGTATGTATGTGTGGTCCCAAACTGAACAAATTGCAGTTCACCAAAAATGAGTATAGTCTTTTTAAAAATCCAGACAACTACTCCAAAATGGAATTTCATAATATTTTTGAGATGATCAAAGAGCGTCACCTCAGAGATTTTGAGACCAAACCTAGCAGCTTTCTCAAAGAAACGGTATCCTTGTACGAAAAACATACAAGTACAATAATTAAATTTTAATTGGCCCACCTTCAGCTATTTACAATGACTAAAAACTTCAGACAACACATCCACCATTTCAAAATAGCTCTTTTCCTATAAAAAAAATTCTTACTTTTTGTTACTTTGTACATGCATGTGGGCTTAATCCTCAACCACTCAGTTTTCTGTAAATATCAAAAAAGTATCAAAACATCTTTAAAAATATACAATCTGTGATATAAAAAACACACAAAGTTTCCTTCCCATCAAAATATAGAATGAAAATATTCAATTTCTGCTGTGTGATATGCTTACTATGGAAAATGGAAGCGGCTTATGCAGTTTCCATAAATTGCTAGTCTATAAATAACAGAGAAATTGTGAACTCCTTAAAAATGGAATTTTTGTAAGATTTCCAATGCCATACCATCAGATGAAAAAAAAACCATTTAAGGAAGACAGTTGTTAAAATGGGAGTGAACTTGCAAAAGTTTAAAAGTCAAAACATAATTTTTCTTATCAAAAGTGAAAAATGCCTGAAACAGTCAATACTCAAGGCCTGTTTGGTCCAAGGACAAGGAAGACATTTCTTCGTAACAATTAATTGGAATAAAAGTGACATGTTTCCTCAATGTGGAATATCACATGTAAATAACCGAGGGTAACCAGATTACCAGAAACCATGATTCTTGCTGGTCTTTGCATAATTTCAATTGTACATTACAAAGGATGCATTGCTGCAAGAGTAAGGACATTTTAGTTCAAACTCGCAACAAGCTTCTTTGAAAGCACCCATGAATATGATAGCATCATATACCTATCAGTTGCTAAATGCTATGAGGCATCTGTGCATCATCTCTGCTCGAGATTTGGTGTGTGATTCACTGATAAACCCAGCTGGGGTAACCCTTTAAAAAGGAAAACTATTTACATGGCAGCTTTGTACATTACAAGACATTCTTTTACAACATGGTAAATAATGGGAAATGTTCAGAAAAGGAAATAGTTGGACATGCACAGCATGTTTAAATAAAGTGTCTTATGTACATCAGTTCTTCAAGTAAACATGGCAGAACGTAGTTGAAATGCTTCTTGAATAAGTTAGTTGATTGGCCTTCCTGCACATCAAGAGTTAGTTGATGGGACTTCTTTTACATGGTTTCTCAGCAGAGCGTACAGTCTGGTCCTCCCAGGACCTGGCGTGGTTTTGTTGGTAGGCCTCCCATGTGCGCGACTCAGAGAGGACAGGTTGAGCACTTTCAAGGAGGCTGTAGGAGGTGTGATTTGGTGAGGTCTGCTGCTGAGGGTACTGGTAGGATGCAGGTAGTGTGGATGCTGCTGAAGGACTGTTTGGGTTGTTGGTGTAGTAACCTAACTGCGCCTGGTGAGCTTGTGAAGGCTGCTGAGGATAGTCATATGACTGGCCTGCCATGGTGGGATACTCTGCCGCATACTGATGCTGCATGCTGTAGTCATATGGCTGGACCTGGTTGGAGGTAGGCGATGCAGTGTAGTGATGTTCTGGTGATAGCATCTCGTCTTCAAGCTTCAACTCACTAGAGACTGGGATTTGAGAGGCACCCTGCCGGCTGAGCCACTGCTCTGATCGGGCAATGTTCTGGCAAACGTTCATCATGGTGTAAGTGCTGCACTTAGGACTGTGTGGAGGTGGAACCTGTGGGTGTTGGACTTGGGCAGAGCTAGTGACGAGGTAGCGGTCTAGATCTTCGTTGATCAGGCCATCCATGTTAGCCATCATGTCGCTGCTCAGGTCACGGACATCCACACCCGCCAGGTCAACGGGTAGCTGCTGGTGCTGCCGCTCCCCCTTCAGCTGAATGTACTTCATGCGCTTCTGCGGAGGCTGGCCACTCAGACGCTCGGCTTCTTCCTTGGGTGTGGTCGGTGGGGTAGGGGGACCTGCCTGCTGAGGTGTTGGGTGCATGGCATACCTCTCGCTACCATCTTCGCTGCCTGTGTCACCAGGGGAGCGAGAGCCCTTGCAGATGGTTGGGTCAGAAGTCAGGGGTCCCTTGCTGGGTTTATTCTTGTTGCGGCGCCTTGGCTGGTACTTGTAGTCAGGGTAGTCTTTCTTGTGTTGTTGGCGGAGCCTCTCAGCCTCCTCAATGAAAGGCTGCTTCTCAGGATCTGACAACAGTCTGCAAAGGTAAAAAAAAAAAAAAAGGAAAAAAGTAAACAACTGCGTTCAGATTAACCTATGGAATGGGTTACAGTTGAACTGATTTTCACCTTTTGAAATTACTCTTCCAAAGGCGGAGTTATTCTTATTGTCAGGCAACAATCCATGCATACCAAGTAAGCAAATCTGGTTTTGGCTAGCACACGTTAACAATAGTTTATTCATCTGTTCTTTACAGTACAGCAGACACGTTGATAAATAGACCAAGTTTGCAATAGTTATACCTTTTTGCTCGACCTCTTGCATTTTACCCGAAAAGTGCAGGGATCGTTACCCTGTGGGTACACTGTACTTTTTAAAGGGGTCACCTTGACTTAAAGCTTCAAGCATCGACGCAAGTTTGAGCGTGCTAGACCCGTGCCCATTGAAATGAGGACGAACATCCATCCATCAATCCCACGAGCTTCTTTTCAAATGATCGTGTTTATTGAAAGCTGAGGAATTTTTCATTTTTCGTACTCCCAACAATAGTCATTTTGAATGGTTAGAATTTCCAAGTTATGGCATCGCGAGAATTCCTCTTAAATGCAAAGGCAGCGTTTCTTTATCATACCCGTCCATGACTGACAGAAGGTGTATTTGAGCTCGGTCATGCGCGTTTAGCTCTCAATAATAGGATCTGAGAGAAAAATCCCATGTACCGCCGTGGATAGCTTACAGAAAAGAAGAGCCTGGAACGAATGGTTTACGCTGTCACTGTGTCAACAATGAAGCGGGGACACAAAGCAGGTTGGCAGAATTGTACACATCATCACAAGAGACAGGGGGGGGGGGGGGGATACGCCAGACGTGTGTAACCTAGTACTACTTTAGGTACGAGTGGCACAAAGTAAAAATCTGTGTATGCGTAGGCCAGGAGGAATGCTATGGTCACGGTGCAATGACATCACCAGAGTTTAGCCTTGCCAGGGTAACTGATTGATTTATGAATCAAAATTGTGTGTTTTCTTTAAGACTGGTGATCTGCATGATTGGTGGCGATATACGAAACGGGACTGGTCCGAAATTGTATCACTGTCAAAACTAGATTTTCAATGTGAGGGTCAGGTGCCGGCCCCGTTCAGCCATGCTCAGTGTTTGCACAAAATTAATTTACAATTTGGTCGTCGACTGAGGGCCCAGGCCCAGACTAGACCATTGATTGTATCAAAACTTCAAGATTTAGGGTTTTTATATTTGCTACGATTTTTTTAAAATTATTAAAAATAAAATATTCGAAAAAGTAACTCCAAGTGGAAGTTCTACTTTGAAAATGTGTAAACATGTCTAGCATGTCTAGCGTTTCACAAGTTGAAATTCAGGTGCTGGAACCCTTAAAGCTAAGATCATAATTGCATTTGCGTTGGCATATAAAACAAAATAGCATTGTCAGGTGATTGTGATCGCTTGAATAAATTTAACTTCATTTACATTGATTTACTACTACTAGTACTAGTAGTAGCACTAAAGTATGTACTTAGCGGCAGGACAACACTTTCAAGCCAAAAACCCTTCAGAATACAACCGAAGTGTGGCGTTCCAATTATAATTTACAATACACAGCATCGCATCCATGGTCATTCTGATAGTACATCAAGCCTCAAGGTATTAAATAAGATAAAACTATAAAGTAACTATAAAACCAGACAAATTCCAACAATGTTACTCACTTCCACAGTCTGCCAAGCGTCTTGCTGAGTTCGGCGTTGTGCAGGTGAGGGTGCTGATCTGCTAGCTTTTTCCTCGCTGCCTGTGCCCACACCATGAAGGCATTCATGGGTCGCTTGATGTGCGGCTTGGCGTTAGGGTTACCGGCAACACGCGTGGGCATGGGCACAAGCGACCAGTCGTAGCCCTGCAGCACACGGGACACGGCGTCGCGAATAGACGGGGGGAACTCGGGTCCAAGGTGGCCGGGGCCTCGCCGCAGTTCGCCCGTGTCGGACTCTGAGCCGGACTCGCTACACCCGGGGCTAACCGGACCGTCGCTTCCCCTGGATAGAGGCCTCTCCATCTCCGTAATCTGCACACTCATTTTCGGCATCGAACCGCCTGCACTGGTAAGGAAGATTCAGATAAGTGTATGTATACTAGCTGACAGTCCAATGTACTCCGTGGCTTAACGAGACTTGTAATGACTCATTTCAAGGGTGCTCAGTGCTTTTATCCGGCCGACCGTGTTTGGGTTAGTCACCACCGCTCCTCCACGCTGCCCGTGTACTCGCCGTACGTGTATTGTTGGATCGTTTATTGACATATAATTAAGGAAACAAGACTTGCAGCGTTATAATTCGATCGTGCTTGTGCTCCTTCCGCGCCTGGCTGGGTGGGTGCGCACTTTTACACCCATCGTGACTGGTGCGTGTCGTGATTGGCCACTGGCTGACACGCGCTCGCTGATTGGCTAGTTGTTTTCTCCGCAGTGATTCCCATTCACACGTATTGCACTGATAGCGATCACGGACTACTTTGCCTTGAGAGCGTATACGTGATCATCGCGGATCGAAATGTAAATATGGTATCTTTGCTTTATATTTATGCATTCCTTGCGCTATGATTTATGTTATATTACTTTGGAAATAGACTGTGAGCGGTTGGTTTGGATAAAACATGCAATAGACGAAATAACTGAATGTTATTACTTTGAATTGCGAGACAAATTAGTCATGTTTCATATTGTTCATTATAAGGGAGAGTTTACCGTATGTAGGATGACTAAGAAGTTTGTTTACAAACAGAACAAATGGGAAAGTGTATATAAATCTTGACGGATGCGTCTTTTGCCAAATTTTATGGCGAAATTATAATTCCAAGGACGCGTATCTTGCATAAAGCAAAGCTTACCCAATAACCATTCGTTTTAAGCCATGTACATTACCTACTAGCGTTTTTGGCCGGTAAACCAGTTTTCGCTGATCAAAACACCGAGCTTAGCCAAATTTAGTACGGTAGGTAACTGAGCTCCTTGCATCGGCACATTTACTTTGATAGATGATGTTAGGTTTTCTCAGGATTCATTGCAATCTATTTGTGATTGAAATGTTTCATCGTTTCGCTCCTGGTGAGTTTTAGAATTATTTATTGTCTCTGATATTTTGTTCATCATGCCTGAGGGAGACCTTTAAAGGGAGAGG